GGAACAGCTTGCACTAATTAAAATTTACCCTTCAGTACCAGCAAGAAAGACTTCTCCGTCTCTAAGTCAACTTTTGCACAAAGCTAAAGCAGCAGCTGGCATATCTTTGAAGACAGAGGACGCTTCATTAGTATTCTTTTAATTGAGTTTTTCTGAACTTACAAACACACACTGGTCTTGCTTTTATTTGTCTGTTCTGGAGAGTTTTGCTCTAAAATGACAAGAAATTCCATACTGTATCTTCCTACAAGTCCTTCTCCATAAAAGAACAAGATGCATAGTGGCAGGTACTTCCAGATTTCAAAGTAGTCCACTCTAAATTGTTAAGAGCAGGACCTCTCTTGCTGTGTGTACTGGTAAGGCAGTTTGCCCAGCAGGACCCAATTCTGATTTAAAATTAAAAAAAAAAAAAAAAAAAAAATCTCATCACAAGCAGCAGGGAAGATTGTTTTATATTCCTTGCTACCTATGGCTTAAGTGTGGAACCCAAGAAGCAATTCAAGCAGAGACTACGGCCATCAGGAAGTGACTCTCCAGCTCTTTTGCTTGCTCACCATCAGACAACTTTAGACTATCATCTGCTAGAGGGCATTTTGGCACCTGGAGTCATGTGTCAGGAAGTGGCCACAGTGCTGGACAAGTCCGCCACTTTTTAAGAACCAGATGTAGTGTAATCCAGATACTTTTATCATTGCACACCAGATGTTTGGGAACCAGTGCTGTGACATGCTTGGAAAAAGAATGTCAGTATTGACTGAGGTCCCTATGCCTTGCAGTTCCTTACCGATTATGCCTCCTAAATATCAGTAATGAAAATAAAATTTCCACATCATTCCTTTGTCTCAGAAGGACTCTCTGGGTGCCTGAAGTACCTCATACATTTCCATGTTGGTTTGTAAGTCTTGTAAGGCTTTTGTCAGGTTCCTAAATTCTTCCTTAACTGACTAGGCCTGTGCATTTTCAGCTCCAAATCTACAGTTATAGTGGAAAATATCACTTAATAGACAGAAAAGCATGATAACAAAAAGTTTCTCATTTTCCGTTTTGCTAAGTGTCTGATTACATGTTCTCAGGCAAATCAGATAACCTGAGATTCACTTGACTCATCCACTGAGCACAAACATTATTCAACTTTGCCTTTACGTTGCACTTCATAATCCTAGATCTGAAAGCCAAGTAACCAGTATGAGACACACAGTGTCTCCCTGGAGGAAACCAACATTGGTGGAAAACTACCTATTGTCACAATGAAATCTGTAGCCATTTTGAATTATAAAACTATACTGGGTAAGTCATTACAGATTAGAGTGCTGAGTACAATCCAGCAGTCAAAGAACGAATCATAAATCCACAAAGATTAAAAGAATTAACTACCAGAGGCAGAGATTAATATCAGTAATTTACAAATTATCTTTTAAAAGCATTAAAACTCAACAGCAAACCAAGTTAATTTCTCTCACAAACTTTCTTCATTGTCACTCTTTTCCCTTAACTTCTCTCTTTTTGTAACAGTTTCTTGAGGTTCTGATCACAGTATCATTGTGGTATCGGTTTACTGGAGGCATAATCCTGGTGATGCTCCTTTTAAAGAATAATTTAATTAAAGTGTTTAATAGTAGAAGAAAATTAATTTCCTCTGACTTTGTCCTCTTTTGAATACTTAAATCTGTGCAATTATACATGGAAAAAAAGTAGAATCTATCAATTCTGAAACCTCAGATTTCATCAAGTACTTTTCCAGTGCCTATAAAAGCAGAATAAGCCCTTTTAAAAACCCAGTCATTGGGGAAAAGTCATTTGCTCATATTGAAATATGTGTCCCTTCCCGCCTGTAGTAACAGACACTTTTCATGAAGAAAAAAAAAAAAAGGGAAAGAAAAAAAGAAGGTTCCCAGAGATAGTTCACATTTCTAAGGGTGAGGAAAAAGAAAAAAAAAAACAACACCTAAAGATTGCATTAAGTTAGTTTCAACCAAACATTGGTCATCCTGGGAAACCGAGAGGCTTCAGAAAGAAGATGGAATACTTACTGCTTGAGGCAGACAATTCTTTTGGACTGGAGGACATTGGCTGAGCACACATCTGACAGAGACAGTCCCTTCCATTAAAGGTAACACGATCGCCTGGTGGAAATGGACGCCTGGAGAGTTAAAGAGAAAAATGTATTTTAGCAAAGGTTATTCCAGAAATTTTCCTCTGTTCCCTATGCCTTGATTTTGCTGCCTTCCCCCAGTGCAATCAATATTTTACAGAAACTCAGGCCAAATAGTTTCTGCAATGTGGCCTTGAAAAAGCCAGGCACTGGAAGAAATCCAATCCGTGGATGCAAGCAGAGCAGAGGTTAGACTTGCCTTGTATTTTGGCTTTAAAAAAATTATCAAACACATTTTATCTAAAGAGTAGACGACAGTGAAATCCACTTAGACACAATAGCTTCATTTATGATGGTCTCAGTATGATGTTGTGTGTAGGAAATCGTACAGAAGAAAACTCAACGGAAGAATAGGAATTGGTCTTGATGCTAGTGAAGGAATGTGGATCTAGTCACTCATAAATACACTAATTTCATCTGTATTCAGCAATGAAATATAAGACTCTATTACAGTGGATGTAGCAGTTTGCAAAAAAAAAAAAGTTATCCACATGCATTCTCCTAGAGCTTTAAAATAGGTATCTGCATTGCAGAACCACCGCTGTAATTGCTACCTATGCAGATGGCGTTAGGAGAAAGGTGAAGGCTGAACATACTATGGAAGTTTGAGATTATTTGCTGAAGCCAACAAAATGTTAAGAATGTGTTTTAGGCAGAAGTTGACATTGCTGTTAATGCTTATTTGGTGGATAAAACAGAGGATGAACAAAATTTTGTATGAGCATTTCACTAAAATGAGAAGGTTCAGTAACTCCAAATCTTTAGTAAGTAGCTTTAGCTGCCGAGTACAGACCCCCCTACACCACACTTCACTCCAAAACTGTGCTTAACAAATGAACATCTGCTTGTTTCCACAAAACAAAATGTTTCGGGCAATGTTCTAGTTTCCTTTCCACTGCCATTCCTAAGTGGGCCATAAATAAATCAGCAGCAATACTGCATTTCATTAATTCATTCCAATGACTCATGTTTTGTTCATTCAACATAAAAAGATTGATTCAAGTCAATGTACAGAAAATTGATGTCAGGTTTCATACTATATCATCTACTTTCACACTGTTCTTGGGAGATCAATCTGAAACATACACATCATATGATTACCAACATACAGTAAATTCACACACTATTTAAAACCAAACATAAAAATGGTCAAAACACTTTCAATAGAAAAGGTCTTGGAAAATGTATCAGACTATAGGACAAAGTACTTAAACTACTCATCAGAGATAGCTATAAAAGATTAGGGTAGCACCTGGCAAGTCTGCCACACTAATACCCAGATGCATCATATGATGGTATGTCCAATAAGGTACTATCTCAGAATGTAGATTCTTGCCTTTCTTGTTCACGTCATCCTCCTGCATTAAGTTTCAGACAATTCACCCATTGTCAGATTCTGACTTGGAGAACTCCACTGTCCTGTTTCCCTCCAAGACTACAAAGGAACAGGCCCTGTCTTTTGGATCCTCCCTCTCTATGAAATCCACCTACATCTCTATTCTGATGCTCCTTGAGTGTCCCTCAGGCATTACACTGAAACTTATTTAAGAGAAGTCCTGGTTTACTTGCATGGTTCTGAACTGCAGAAATGAACAACTGGATGGCCATCTTAATTCCAGATTAGTAAATAGTAAGTATACACATAACACAGTTGGCTTTCTGTAGAATCATGATGGCACCATAGTATCACTTCACTTTCACTTTTATGTCTAGAAGATTTTTACTACTTTAAAAATGTGCCACTATTATAAAAACCTAGAGAAGCTTTATTACCTCCAGTGTATCCAAAATATTACACCAATCACCATAGCAATAAGGTACATGCTAAGACAGCCTAAATTCTAGCATAGTCTCAGTGCCTAGAGCCAGCTAATAGAGAACACTATGCATAAGGACTTTGGGTTGAGTTTAGGCTGTAAAGCTCAGCTGAGATCTTCAAGTATAGAACTGCTCAACTGAGCACGCTATGAGAGCATGTGGAAGATCTGCCCTCTAGTCTTCTAAATGAGTATCTTAGTGAGAATTTAAACTAAAGCAGAAGTTAAAAATGCCATCTTTTGTCCCATCCACACAGCCTTACTTAACTTCTTTTGATTCTCTGTAGAAGCTGAAGACTGGTTCTCTTACTGGGGACAAGAAATAGTATTTGGGAAAAAGAGGGGAATCACAGTTATCCCAAAGCCATGTGTTCTTACATGATGTGAAAATGAGTTTCAAGAATGTTTTCAATTGTTTAACTGTTCTTATAGCCCAAATGACTTCTGTATTGTAGCAGCCAGAATCTTCCTTTACCTCATTTCTCCCATCAAGCTGGGCTGATCACCTGAACTCAACCCAATCCACCTCCGTTATCTCAACATGTAAGCCTGATATTTAATTCTTTCATATGTGAGAGTAACTCTTTCAGAACAGAGAGCTATATGTAACAGAGAAGCTGTGTCCCCCAAATAAGTGAGTGATATTTTCAAGACTCTCAAAGTCAGACCTGCAGCAGATCTTTTCCAACCAAATGCTTCCCACAGAGAAATATGTCTTGAGGTGATACCTTCCTCTGTTTTCCTTGTGCTGGGTTCATGCTATGTTAGTTGAAAGGGATGACTTACTTGCAAACAGTACAGGCAAAGCAGCTTGGATGGTAAGTTTTTCCCAGAGCTGTCACTACTTCGCCTTCCACGAACTCCCCACAACCGTTGCAGCGGGTACCGTACATGCGCTGGTAATCCAAGGTGCAAAGATATTCCCCGTTCTTAATGAAAAAGCCTCCTTGTGCCAAGTCACAGCCACACACTGGAAGAAAAAAAACACACAGATAGTTTGGAAAAATATACCTACTAAGGATGTCAGCGACAGTCTATGCTGCCGACAAATGAGATGACCCTGGTGGTCTTGCTCCCTTCTACCATATTTTTGCTTTCTGCTGCTGTCACTACATGCCTTGACATCCCAGGAGATGTTGGTATTCTCTGGCTACAAAAGAGCTTTTAAGACTTTCTTTGGAGGAATCTACATAATCATAACTTTCATGTGCTTGGTCCTCACCAAGAGTTCAGTTACCTCCAATCAACCAGTTAATCATGTTATCAGAGATATTTGTACCAATGCAATCTTGCTTTCACTTCTGGGACTGGAGGTGAGCAGAAGAAAAGATATGATTCCGTAAATAGGACAGATTTTACTATTTTATACACTAGCATACATTTTTCCTGCAAGCATGTGCTTTATTTTAAGAAGCATTTAAGGTGCTGCATCTTTTTGAAACAATGAATATACTTGAAACATCATATAGTTTAGATTAACTCCTCCAGTCCCCAGATAACACTGAGCTGCTCCACCATCGCTGCATTAATACTTTTCGTTTTGCTTTAAAAAGTATGATCTTTGAAACGTTCAGGTTGATTTTACAGTATCAATTTAGACATAAATACTGGGAGAAAGATGCAGTGAAGAGACAATCAAGCATTAAAAATCTAGCCACATCTCCACTATATATACTTCATGATATATGCAGCTAAACTATACAACAGTATATTGGATACTGGATAGAGCAAATAGGAAGAAAGAGTATTCCCCACCCCTATTCTGAACAGGAATTATTGTCCCAAGAAGTACTATTACTTTTGAGTGCCTAATCTGCATTGGTCTTCTGTTAGTCTTTCACATATTATATTCCCTGTACTTCATGGATTAAGATAAACAACTCTAATATTTGCATATAGACTTGTGGCCATGTACAGCTTCGTTGGGAAAAATAATCGTATCAGTAAAAAGGTGAAGGACCAGTGAAGCATTTCTGTGACTTGGCACTTTTTCACCGTTAAATGGTTATTCACCCAAACTAAAACACATCACAACCAGGTGCCCGTTTTGCTTTAAGAAAATATTCATAGTGCGACATTGGCATCTTCTGGTCAACACAGGAGAGAGAAAGCAATCCATCCCACAACAGACACGGGAGATGGGAGATTGAATTTCACACTTCTGCTTTGGCTTGGATTGACAAAGGACTTGAACGTTTCTAACATCCCACAGTAGCACCAAAAATACTACTTGCTTCATGCTAGCTTTTAAAAAAGCCCTTTATTCACCTCAGTGAGAAAGCATAAATAGGAGCTGCTAGATGAATTCTTAAACAAATTTATGTATGACTGCTCCCAGGCATTTTGGTTTCAGCCACTCCTACTGCTCATCTGTATATTGCTGTATTGGTGTAATTCAGTAAGAGACAGTACTCTTCACAGTGGTCTAGGACGCTAGCTTAACTCTTACTCTGCAAGCAACTCCATCTCATCGCTCTTCATAACATTCATGTATGTTCAGATCAAATATCAAAAGTATCGAATATCAGAAATTCTGATTATTAAGGGAAAATAAATAAGCAGCAGAATAATAAATTCTAGGTTCCTGCAGTTACAGAGTCCTTGAAAGATTGAAATACGAAATACAGAAAGATTATCAGGGGAACTGGGTTCAATTCATCTCTCCCCGACAAACTCCAAGCACAATGTCATGGCACAATATCATGCACAACATTCGTTCTCTCCCCTGTTATAATGGGCTAATATCCTATTAGCTACCTGCCTTGAAAATTAAAATCGCAAGGTGTTTGGGTCAGGGATTGTAAATTCTCTGTTTGCCTCTTGCCAAGCCTCAGAGGTCTAATGAGTGCTACTGTAACAATAATTAATAGAGTAATAATAAACAGAATGCACTGAAATGCAATTAGAATTAGAATTGAAGCAGTATCAGTGCTAGCAGTCTTCCAGTTTCACATTTCTGCATAGAACAGTGTTAGTATTTTATGTGCAAACAAATTACATGTCATGGTAGCATTCAAAATAGCATGCAAAATGCTCTAAGCTGGTTCTCAGGTACACCTCAAAAAACCCCCTCGGTTTTTTTTCCATCATTCTTCCATTTTTTTTCTACTGATCTCCATTTTGTTTAAAATTCTATTTTCAAACTAAGCGTACGGCATCATGTAACCATTAGGCAGAAAATACTGTGACCTCTACATCACATCACCACTTCCCCTCAGACTCTTCCTGAGCTGAAGACCATTTTCCACTGGTAGTCCAGAGTTACCTTTGGCAGATCCTTATAATTAGATCATGGAGTAACTGAGAATTCTACTTTAATGCTTAAAAGTTGTCAGGGATTACTTCAGTAATTCAGACTGTTAGATCCTGTGGTTACAGTGTATAAACTGGAGTATTGTCACGGAGTGGTCAATACCAGATGCTTCAGAAGCTGCTAAATTTCATAGAGCTGTAGAGTACTTATGTGTCTATGCAAAAGTTTCTTCCTAACCTCCTTTAGTTTGTAATTTAGCTTGTAGCTTTAATGTCCAAGTCTATATAAATGCCCCATCCCTGGAAACATTCACGGTCAGGTTGGACGGGGCTCTGAGCAACCTGATCTAGTTGAAGATGTCCCTGCTCACTGCAGGGGGGTTGGACTAGGTGACCTTTAAAGGCCCTTCCAACCCAAACGTTTCTATGATACATACTTCAGCTTCAAGCTAAAAGCATACTCAGCATGCTGCTGGATCTGCCTCAGGAGCTGCATATATGAACTCTCTGGCTCTCTACTATGGTCCCCAGTTCTACCAGTGAGTCACCTTTTGAAAAACTTGTTTCATCATTATGGCTCTCTTTGCCTAGGCAGGTAATGGGCCTAATAAGGTAGGACGATCAAAAGTAACTTTCAGTGCGACCTCTGTTCTAGCTTCTTCTGAAAATCCAGCTTCAAGATATCATACAGAGGTCTGTGGCAGATCACTACTTGCAAAAAACATTACAAACTTTAATGAAAGTATTCATGCACGCACAGTTATTAAGCTTTATCCTTTTTGCATGGCTACAGGGATTCAAGATAGCAATCAAATTGGGAGATAAAATTATTTGGCAGGTCTTTTAAAGACAGTAATTATTATTATTAAAAAGAAGCTCTTTTTCTTGCCCTTTTTTTTATGAAGTGTCCTTTCCACCCAACCTCTTCTTTTTGTCCATAACTCAGAATGAGTTAAATTCTCTCATACCGGCAAGTCATGAATTCAGGCACAAGCAGAACTGCTTATGATGTGAACCACCAACAGATTCATCGTCTTTGGCACACCCACAGCAGGAAGCACACACCAATCTGCAAGAATTAAAGACAAGTCCTGGCAACCCCATAGTACAACGGATTTTTGCAGACAATTTAGCCCATGTGTTCCGATCACTAATCACAGCTTTAAGCTACATGGGCGAAACAAGGGTCATCCAGACTGTTAACATCCATGGTTGGAAAAATGCTGTTCCAGCAGGCTGCTTTCACTTTGAGTCAGAGATCAAATCAGAAAGGATGAACGTGACTGTATCCACTCTTGGTATACAATGTGGTGTGCAAACAAGGAAGGGATTTAAACAGCTTTTTGTTTTTCCCCTTTTTGCAACTGTGCAGAAGTCAAGGTTCTGGTAATAAATCCCGTCAAGCTTAAACATATTGCCTTAGCACACGTATTTATGATCACTATAGAAAAAACACAGAAAAGAGGGATGAATTGTGATTGTTTTTATTAAAAAGAAAGACCATCTGCCCAGCATTGTTCATACCACAAACAGCAGAAGCAATGAAGAGAAACCAGCTGTGATCACTACATATGTACAATAAATCCCAATAGTGTGATCTAGGTAACTCCTGTTATACAAATATCATGTCATCAAAGAAAAACGAATATCAAAATGATGACAGTTAATAGGAAACATCAAATTATGTTCTTTCAGTTTTTTTCCTATGCTGATGGGAAAAACAACTTTGAAAGAATTAGTAGAGCCAATAGTGATGCACAAATCATGCTTGAGACGGCAAAAAGCAAGAAGTATTATGTGAACATCCATCACATGGAAAGAGTTCTACATCTTTCCAACCTAGTGATTCTGTGATCTCCCCAAGAACCCTTCCTGCTCGACATGATGGAAGAAATTCCATTCTACCTGACCAGAATCTCTTTTCTGAAACAGGAGACACTGGGGAGCGTTTCTATTCCCACAAGCATAGAGGCAAAAAAATCAGCCTTTTTCTTTAAATGAAAAAAGAAAACCATTATCTTCAACAGCTCCTGGAGGAACTCAGTCTTTTTCTCACAGTCTACATATCAAAGCATTTCATACTCCGAACAGACCATGCAGCCTCTCTTGTGAATGGAGTAAGTTGGAATACAGTCTTGCTTCACACAGTATGGAAAACACAGACCTACAAGCTTTTTCTCTCTTGAACTGCTCTGGAGCTACTGTTTTACATCCCTGGAGCACAAGAAGATTGGGGATACCATCAGTGCTGCTGTCAGCTCTCAAAGCTACAGGGTCTGTGTATGCAAGCCGGGGCTATTACAACCAACGGTAGCTGCTCAAAAGCAATCCAATTGTCTGTGATCTCAAGGGACTGGGATCACTCTTAAGCTGAGTCACTTCCAAGCTTTAATGGATATGATGAAAATTAAGAGATCAGATTTTTTCAAAGTGAATGGAAGCAGGATTTGATCCTACTGAGCATTATGTAGGATTTCCATAAAGGTACTGACAGTGTGAGTTGAAAAAACAGGCCCTTAGTAAAATAACTCCAAGTTGGTATTAAGTAAAAACTGTTTCAACACTGAAGAAACAAAATCACACAAGCAGACTCTATGAGCATGGGCTCGCACTTTGCAGAATTGAATGCTATTCATTAAGAAAAGTCTAATGATCTGCTTTGTCATCATGCATTAAATACAGTGCAAATTCAATTTCCTATTGGGGTTTTATTTCTTT